GCTGGAGTCCAATAACATGTGGTGAAGCATTGTCTAAAAGGAGCAAAGCTTTCTTATCTAAGGGAATACGCCCATAGAAAGATCGCAACCAGTCCTCCATAATGTCATGACGCATCCATGCTGCCTTGTTGTGACGCCAAACACATCCCAGAGCTCGGAAATTAACCCCCGGAGTGCGCGAGGGGTTTTTGCTGTGCCAATCAACCATAAAGGGACTCGATCGGAACCATCCGCATTTGATGCAACAACAATAGTGATTCGTGTTTTATCAAGCTTTTTGCCAGCAATTTTTCCCTTTGAAAGACCACCATTTGGCATACGTCGCCAAAATAGGCCAGTTTCATCCATATTGTAGATTTCGGACGGTTTGAATTGATTGCAAATCGATTTGGTGCTTTTGATCTGATCATGTACCGAGGATGGGACTGAGGCAGCTTCTCCGTGGAAAGTATGATATTGAAGAGAGTGGCGTTGTTTGAAGCGAGTTAACCAACCCTCAGAGAATTGAGGTTTGGTCCGATCTTTGTATTCCGGTATTTGTCTCCAAAGCTCAGCTGCTTTAGTTTGGATCAAAGGGCCATTTATTGGTATTCCATTGCCAATATGGTTATCTGCCCAGTCATATAGCTTTTGGTCCAATAATGGCCAATGAGAGGATGAAGATCGTTTGTTTGCCCCTGCAGGGCCCGTATCAAGATAATTGTATTTGGATGAAAGGATCCTTGATATGGTTGACCGGTCAATCACTTGTTTGAATTGGTCCTCAAACCACTTAGCACATGCAGTCTGCGTGGGCTTTGGGCTAGTATTAGACCAAAATGCCCGTAGTGCCTGTTTCTGCGCGTCTGATATACCCAAATTGGTACGCTTTGGTCCCATTCTGACGCGCTTGGGTGGGGTCGGGAGGGTAGGAGAGCTTGTAGATTGAGGCATTCTGATTGGTTGATTGCGCTGACTAAGCAGATTTGAGAGGAAGAAAGTGTGGTAAAACAAAATGTGTTATATTCTGTCAATTTATATGGAAAAAACTGGAATGAAGGGGCCATCCAAGCAAGGGATGTGTTATTATCAAGAATGTGCAATATCCCACCGTGGTATAAGCGAGAGTTGACTGTATACCTATTATGGCTACTCTGCCCCTGAACTCCTTTCTTGGCAGTAATCCAGTACAGTTGTAAATAACAGCTTAAAAATAGCTCTTATATTAGAATTGTAAGGTCTTTGGGGTTTCTAGAACGTTGATCCAACAAACCAGTCAAACAGACAGATCCCTAATCGTTTGGAGACGTGGCAGGAATTCGAATCCCTATCTTGCCTACCACTTGCCCTCTAGTGACCACTGCGAACGAGCGAGTTATATAGAGACAGGACTAGTGAGTATTATTTCTTTGGTTCTTATGACAGGTTGGCCTTCTGATAGAGGACTAGCATCTGCTGAACTGACTGGTCCGTGATTATGCTGACAATAGATCTGTTAGAGCCTTGAAACGAGGACAATGACTGCTAATCCGTATCCTAATAACCCTGAACTTCAGCTACATAACCTCGAACCTGGGGATCAAGACTCGCAATATGCCCCCACTCTAGGATACTACGGTCGCACGCCTGCGTCATGCTGTGGGCTCAGCCCTTCCCCCGACTATCACTCCGAGAACGATCTGGAAGTCCTATCACAGTAGCAACCGCAAACTCCTAGATTGCTTTGGCTATCCGAATAGCATGACGGAATATCAAGTAACGAGCTTCCGGCGAACTGCATCCAGTATACGATAGAGTGGAAAGTCATGGTGAATAAGAAAGTCCTTTCACGAGACACTGAAGAGGACGTAGCCCTAACTCCGAGTGTATACTGGCCAATGACACTGAAGGGTAAGTTGGAGAGTCTATTAGAAGGGAAGACCCCGGTAAAAGAAGGGTAAAGTCGGACGACACCTCGATCGTTGTGTCTGTAAATGATCGCTCTCAACGCGACCTAATGAAACGATTTGATCATCTCGATATCGATTGGACTACTGTGGAAAATAAGCTGCTTAGGTGGGGTGAGCTTTACCGTCGAGGCAAGAAATTGAGGTTAAGTATTACCTTCAAATATATTGAGGACGACTGTCTCTCCAAGACTGCCTCGGGTAGGGTTGAAAAAAGAGGAAGGTCGTTAGTCACCAAACGTATGCTTAACGAGCGAGGCGCTCAATTGGACGCCGAAGCAAACGTATCTGGACAAGAATCAGTTTGGCGGAGTGTTTACAATCTGATGCGTTGCCTATCCTCCTCGTGCTATCTTGGCCCACATTGCTGGCAAGACCCGCACGGGAAAAAGCACTATAAATTGAGGAGCCATCAACTAAAGCGTTTGATCGCCTTTGTGGAAAAAGGCGGCACCTTATAGTCTCATGAAGACGTCCCGGATAATTTCCGTGAAGAATTATATATGGAAGAGCGGCATAGGCTGGAGAGCCAACAATCTTAGAAGAACAAGATAGTACGCACCCTAGGAAGCTGTCAGCCTATCAATATCAACTTCAATGGGATACAATCTTCCCCGCAACGAGACACGTCCAACCCAACCACAGCCTCAGCAATGGTTCTGCCACCCAATGACCAAGTCATGGAAGACCTCAGTCTTACTGGGCTAAGAGATAAAGCTATCAAAGATTACGGCGTATGGCATGAATCGAACGTTGGTGACGAAAATCTAAAAGCACAGTTTCGGCAAGCATGCAATGTGGCGTTAGCCAATGGTCTTGATCTTAGAGGGAGGGTCGTTCCCTTCACCCCATACTATATTAACTATAACCCCACCCGTTAGTCCTGCTTCCTGAACTTCAGCCGGACCGACTCTCTTCACTTTAAGACTCTCTCCAAATCATTTCAAGACTTCGATTCCCTAGGAACATGACGAACACCAATAGCCACCCTCCTCCACATTTGCATTTTCAAGCTTTCAATACACCTGTTCCGGAACCAAGTCCCCGGTCATATTCGCACAGCGAGGGCATCATTCCTACTTTTGGAACAGGTATACCTACCATTTGTTTGAGTCAATCTTGCTTAAGCAATCCACGAGGAATTAAATTGTGCTGATTGCCAAAATCCAGAGCGTTTGATTGGGCAATCCTATGTTCAGATCCCACAGTCCAACTGCATTGAAACACAGCCAGCTTCATCTCAGGAACTGCACCGCGCACCTTCCACTCCCGATGCTTTCCTTTATCCTATGTCAGAAGAACCCATTTTGCCAACTCATCATCTCGACAACAAAAGGTGGGTTAAAACATCCTCCAAAAACGGTATCGAAGGCGAATCGAGTATAGGATCACCGACTGTATCAGGTTGGACCAGATCTGCTCCAGATAGCCAACTTCTCAGCTACGGATGTAACACCACTCCCATGTGTGAGGGCCAAGAAGTATACGGTGGAAACAAACTACCTGGTAAAAGGTCCACGTTGGACTGGTCATGGATCGTCCGACTTCCGGAGAGTGACTGTGCAACCGTCACCGAGGTGCTCTTGTGTCTTCGAACGAGCGACACCACTTCCATGGACACGTTTTACAAAATTATATTTCAAAAGCTGGACAGTCAAACGTGTATAGACCTCTTAAAGGAATGGATGGTGCTCAACAACTCCGGTGTGGTCCTAACCTATGTGGAGCCAGATTGGTGGCCATCAGAATTGGAATACATGGATCCAGAAGAATTTGAGGATGATGGTATGTTTACACAATCAAGGCTGTGTGTTTCGTTCCTGGCTAATGTTGGAAGACCTGAGAAACGCTGTATTTATCATGCTACGAAGTGCCGACACCAAACAGTTTAGTGACGCCTTGGCGCCTTTGAAGAGTAGATCCGTGGATATATGGATACTCCGGCTGGCTTCATTGCTGACACAGATCGAATCTTCCAGCTACAAGTTGACGGGTAGGCTAACCTTTGGCTTGCGCCTGGATTTAATTGACAATCTTAGATTTCATATCCCGTATCCCTGATTTGCAATTACCAGGCAAGATTCACAGCGCCAGTGGCAAGCTTGGTGGGATTCTGTCAGAAGAATGAACAGAACGCAGGAAGCGCGAACATCAGGTCCATTGCCAAATATGCCACTTCAGATTTAAGAGTAGCATGAATAGAAATACGCTAAGGTTTTTCACGCGAAATAATATCAGAGGTACGACAATGAAGACTAGGAGTAATGTACAGAAATAGGAGTAATTGGAGATTATATCCGAGCATCAATATCTGTGAAAAGCCCTCACTACTACAATGCGCCGAGAGAAGCGCCCATCCCCTCTCCCAAATTCTCGACAGTAGTGACCCATCTTTCCTCGGTGGCAATGTGCAACCCTCATTCTTAACCGTAACCACCATCAAATTCTTGATTGAGAATGAGTTAGGCCTTTTGCCACTGATATACTTGTGGAAGCTCACGTGTCTATTGAAGGTCGTCCACTCCAAATCACCATGGAAACCCGAGATCATTTCTCATTTGGTCATAAAGGCTTGGGTAACTCATGTCTCACCATAATATCTTTCAGGATATCTTCGAATAGTGGACGACAGGTTGCTTCAGACTGATTCTCAATTTTGCGACTTTTGTCTGCGAACTACCTCCTCCAGCGCCTTTTCTGGCAGCGCTACCCGCGCCGTCTCCCTTTCCTCCACGTGCGGCCCCCGAATATCGCACGATACAACCTCCACCCAATGAATAATGAACATGATCTTCTCCTATGAAACGTGATATATCCAAGACTGATGCGCAAGGCTTCACGAGATGAATGGAGGAGGTATTGCCAATGAGAAAGGCTGACCTTCTTGGGCGAGGTTTCTTCAACCCGGCATGGTAGCAGGTGTCATCAAAACGGACAGCCACCTTATCGTGGTCGATCATAAGATCCATCTTGGAAGCGGGATTATTCCATCCACAAGTACCACACTTTGGTACAGGATTTGATAAAATTCTTATCGTTTGATAGAGAATTGCCCATAATGAATCCGGTGCGGTCTCAGTAAGCCGGCAAGCGTTCCAGTTTGATAAATCGATAGAATTTGTCTTGAATTCCTCCATAGCGATAGCGGTCCTCACCAAGACGTTGACGGTTCGGAAACTGGTGGTTGAAGTTTGTAAGGACACTATGCCATTCTTTCCAGAGAACGACGCGCTGGTGCCAGATGAAGTAGCTTTCCTCAAGTGAGTATTTCATACGACGCGTGGGCCGGCTGGGTGCGCTTGTAGTGGCGTTTTCGACGCCTGTCCGTCCGGCAATGGCGAGTGAGAGCCCTGTCGTTTGCACATATGGTCTTTTGGAGGGGCAGCCATTTAATTGAACCATGGGTCTCGATTTTCGGCTTTTTCGCAGGTGACTGGCATGTTCTGCGCGTTGCGACCGATCTTTTGAGTAGTGTCGCGCGTATTGCGGCGTGGGCGTCGCTTGATGGTTCAACAGCGAACTGATCTTCATAGGGTTTGGATTTGAGTGCTGTTGCATGGGCGATACATCGACTGCCATTATTGCTTCAAGAATCCGAAGAAAGAAAGCGGAGAAGAAAGTAAAAGAGACGGCATGCTCTTGTTCACGAAACGGCCGTATTAGTACGTGTCGGCAGTTTTCTTAGCATGACCAGTTTGATCTGCACCAATAGACTTATGTTTAACCTTCAAAGCAAGACTAACGAACCCAGCGTTGACTAGTTCAATCAGACGCAGGACCCCTCTGGGCAATCTACATCTTGGCATAATGTATGAATGTTCCCGGGAAGTATCTAGATCGCTAATTAGCGACCTTCCAGCAATAAAGTTGCTCCCTAGACTATTACGTGTCTCAAGGTGGAACCAGAGTCTAGTCCAAGCTGGCCCTGTACTGTATGGATTAGTGTGAGGCAAATTAGGGTCAAGAGGATTCATCCAAATTCGAAGGGTTCCATAAATAAATTGTCTAACCGCTCTTGTTCGCCCTGCTCTTGTTCGCCCTGCCTTCTTTCAAGGATATTTTCTATTCCCACTCTGTCCTTCTGATTTTCAGGAAGCAGTTCCAGTTATCTATCACTTCAAACCAACGGTGAGTCTGCCTCAATAAATGGCTGGTGCTACAGGTTCTAACCTTTACAGGAGACGGACAGTGTTTACTCGGCTGCCGCTCACTTTTTCACAAGAGCTACCTCTTTGTCTTGGAATACTTCGCTGAAACAAACAGCAGAGAATTGCGGCAGTCGGTTGGGTTGTCATGTTTACTTCGACGGACATCATGCCAAAAAGGCCAGGAGCGATCATGTCGTCGTCTTCCACCTCACCTTCCGAATCCTTCCCAAATTCCAAGGATGGCAATCGTCAGCGGTCTACTCGAAAACGACGGGCTCTTTCATGGGGTTACATGCCCCAAGGCACACCCTGGGATCTGACGGACTCGCTGAGCAAGTTGACTCAAAATATGACCGAAATCCCAACTCTGGATATAGGCAAATGGGTGCGCCGGTCGGTTGAAGAGTGCCGGAGGGAGACACAACAAAAAGGAATGGTTCCGCGGCCCATGAACTCCTTCATGCTATATCGGTTGGCGTATACAGAAAGCATCATAAGACTGTCGGCCCGACGCAGCCCCTAAGTCATCTCCTCTATTGCAGGAAAGAGCTGGTGGAAGGAAACACAGGGTTTCCGCGACGAATACGCGAGACTGTCCAAGATTGAACGCGATGGCCATGTCCAGGCGCATCCGGACTACAAATTTAATGAAATTGCGTAAAAGGCCGTCTGTTGCTGAGCCTGTGGCACAATTTGAGAGTCCTGGACTTTCCGAAAACAGCAATTGTGGCTGGTCTCCCGTCCAGAATTTTGGAACAAGTATCCAAAGCCCCATCAATTATCCCTGCTTAGGGTCCCATCCCGACGGCACTCTGGTAAAGCTCGTCGCTCCTATGGGAGGTGTTTTCCAAAAAGGCTATTCCAGTGACTTGGTTGGGCTTCCTGATGAAGGAGACCACGACTTGCTGTGTCCTGAGCCAATCAACCTCCCGACTAGCATCCTCATAGATGGGATTTATGTGGAGCCTCAGTGGCAAGAAAACCTATGGCTCGTTTAGCATGAGGAGTTGCAATTTAGTAGTCGGCTGCGGCCAAAATATTGCATGGCTTTGGCATCTGTCGAAGCAATCTGGCAAAAACAGGCCGGCAATCTAATTTTGTGAGCTGGTGTGTGTGCTATTAACGTATTTACTGGCGCCCAAGCCAATGTATAGCATAATCTAAATTCAGTAAATATCAAGTAATTCATGTGAGACTATATTTGCGTGATGCATTTCCTGAAAAACCGAATAATCAGCACAATTGTTATGTGATTGCGCAAGCGTTGTTACATACTACGTAGCCTTTTTCTGCAGTTTTTCGTATCTGAATGTCGAGTAAATAGATAATACATGCCCGTATTCCTCTCAATTTCTTTCGCGGGCTCCTAGCTACCTCCAGGGCTTGCTTTGCAAAGCCCAAGGTTGGTATGCCATAAAATTTGTACAACGCTCAGTGACTATAAAAGTCGGGTCTCTTTACACTGCCTGCGAGATCAACTAGGGCTGTTTTGTTTCGGCTGATACGGTTAATCTTCAACATATAGTATCGACCCCTTGGTGGCGAATATATATGCAGGCCATAGAATATAATTGAGTTCACCTTTACAACTAGTTTGTCACTATGATCCATGTTCTATATATAAGCCCATACGGTACATGTACCAACGGGAGTGTTCTGAATTGGTTAAAGGGTAAATAGCGTGGCAGTAAGATAATAATAAAGCAAGTAAAAGAGAAAAAAAGGAGGAAAGAGAACCTAAATTTGATGCATATACATAGTAATCGGACATCCAGGGAAGAAGACGATAATGACTGAGAGTTGAAAAGTGGCATCGTCCAAACCATGCCATGTCTAATTAAATTGAGGCCCTACTACCGCAGTAGAGCATGCTGGGCCACATGTGATAGGTGGGGAAGTATAAGGCTTAGAGAGCACATGCGACTATCTATGAAGAGGCTCACCTGCACGATGATTATACATTTGCTGGGCCAATGATGGGAGCGGAGGCCCCTGGTACCGCTGGGCACCGCGTCCCTGCAACTCGTGAAGGGGATAGTGAGGAAGACTCATAGGGCTGCTCAGGAAGGATGATGAGACTGATATTGGAACAACTGCTTCGGGCTTCATGTCAGGATTGCGGGGGACCACGAGTATAGAGTACGAACGAACCGCCTGTGTGAGCCCTCTCCGGCACATCGCTAGTTTGCGAAATCCTAGATTGTGAATCGGCCGTGCAGAAATGGGGTGGTCGAGGGTATGAAATTTGGGAGTTGAACGGGCAATTTGGGACTGGGTTTTGTATGTAAGTGAGCTGGTTGTTCTGCAAAATTGGGCTCGTTTTCGAAATACCAATAGAGAGTGACTGCTGGTTCCCAGCTCTTTCCGGTGTTCCGGTGGGCAATTCTAAGTAATTTGAGCCTGCCTGTGCGTACTCACAGGCAAGTTGGTTGGGGCGTCCTCTTCCACCTGCAAGTGCGAATAAAAACAGTCAGTGTGGGAAGCAGGGACAGATAAAGGAAGAAAGGGGAAGAAAAAGGCCCAGTGACACATAGATCTGGTACGCTTCAAAGGGGCAAAGTGACTAAGGCTAACACTGCATTATAGGGGAGCTTACTCTGGAACCCTTCTTTCTGTGACACATTTTGGTCATCTCTTCTCTGCTCGACAGGCTTTCCTTTTGATGCTCGCTGGCTTAGTTGTCCGCCAGGAAGAGTGTCTCGTTTATTGGTCTCCATCTGAGGAGTCAATTCGCTGATATTTGGTTCAGCGGGATGGACGTTACCACCATTAATTGCTGTGAACCTGGCCGGAGGCTTTGGCGTGATGTCAACTCGATGGCGCCGATTGCCGAACGTGGGGGTATCTTCAGCATTCTCAGGTGTTGGAAGCACCATCTGTTCAGAAGCGCATTCGGAGGCCACAGCAGCCGGTGGATTTTGATCCACTGCTTCTTCACCCTCATGCAATGGTGGAGGACTGTTGCGAGAAAGTCTCTCTGAGTTGTCTAAAACCTGCGGCTGATGAACTTGCGGCGATCGAGGTCGCTCAAACGGCGGATGCTTGAGTGTAGTATTCTCATTGCTCGGAGCTGCTATGGTATGGGATGGATCCAAGCTGGGAGTGATGGCATTGGGTGATCGTGATACCCGCATAGTATCGAGAACAAGCGGAGATACTTGACCTGGAGTGGGTGTTGAGGTTCCATCCTTATGGCGACAATCTGCCTTTCGTTTTCTGCGGTAAGCTGTAACGATAGCAGAGGAACTTCGATAGTGGCCAAAGTCTCTTAGAAACTCAACTTCGAGTCTTTCCTTTGGTAGATTTTTCCGTTTCATGAACCAGCCTGGTAAACGGTTCAGGTCCTTATCGTTCCACGGGCGATGAGAACGCTCCGCCTTTGGTTGAGATTTTTCATTCAGACATCTTATAATCAATTCCTCTTCAGACAAAGTTTTTCCAGAGGTATCGGTGGTTGGCCCATCCATTCCGCTGTTTTGAGGAAGCTCAGTCGAGTCACCAGTGGAGCTTGATTCAGGAACTTGGAAGGGCGTCGATGCCCTGGGAACAGGCAACGCACCCAGTCCACTTTCTGTATGGTTTTCATTATTGGAACCCTCATTTGCTGTACTTCTATCCAATGGAATCTCACGGGGTGAAGATTGCGGAGAAAGTTTCTCTGGTGATTGGTCGCAACGCGCCGTGTCTGTCTGTTCCACGTGCATTGCACTGGACTCAGTACGGTGGATAAGCGTTTGGCCCAGCTCTTCGAGTGTGGTATCGCCTTCAGGGTGATGCCGGATTGGAGACTGGATAGGTTCTGCTATCCGAGGGGATTCTAAGGGAGAGTTTCGAGGCAAATAAGAATCAACCGTCCCTGGTATTGCAGCGAGGACATTGATTGAATTATCATTCCTTGGCTGACTCTCGGGAACCATATCTGATGGCGCTGGATGGGTTTTGGGTGATTTTTCAGCCTGAGGGCTTCCTCGAACTGGCCATTCATTTTGACTTGTAGCTGACGCAAGTTCATGCTCCTGAGATGCGTACCGACACCTTAACATTTGATTCGCAGTATCCTGTTCAGATACTGCATGTCGGTCTCTGGATTCTGATTCAGGGCCAACCGGTGGAACACGATGAAGGGCATAAAGGCTTCCATCCTCGCAGTCGTTAGAATTCAAATAGGGTAGTAGGTTCGGGGCTAGACGTAATGCGTGAACCTCGATGTTCGACCTCGAGATCAATTGTTGGGTCAAGTCCACTGATTCAAAAGGTTGAGGAAGCGGTGGGGAGGAGCGAGGTGTCAAAGACACAGGTTCTTTGCGCAAAGTCTTCTTATTGCGCTTCCTAAAAGGGCTTTTTCCTGTCAAGAAATACACTTTTGCCTCAATAGCATGGAAGGTCCGTTTTTGCTTGAATATTCGGTGAAAGTTTTGGGCAATCTCTTCCTGCGACAGATTTTGCCTTACTTGGTCTTCGAACCATAGAGGAAGCTGCTTCAGCACTTCTGAAGGCCAAGCTCTGTTTTTGGCGACTGATACATCCAAATTATTAGTACTTCTTCGCCCACTTCAATTTCAACGCCACACTTCTTACGTGCATTACTTACAGTTCCGCGTTCCAGCACCGCGTTTTGAAGCACTGGCTTGCACGTCTGTTTTTTGAGTCTTGATAGCCATCCCATCGAGCGAATCTGCGTCAACCTGCGCAGGCGTAAAGTGCGCTGGCTTTTCGGCGGACTCCAGGGGAAAGGGCGAGCCCGCCGATCTCTGACTTGGCTCCGGACTGCGGCGAAGAATTCGATCTCTTCTTAATATTTCTTCAAGCACAGAGTTATTGACTTTGATGACTGGGGGGCGATGTAAGCGAGTGAATAGGATAAAGATAATGCTCGAGTTGGCTTACTTTCCGATGCAAGTTCATTCACCAGTGATGTCATTTCGGCTGCCAGCGCCAAGGTGTTTAATTCCGTCTGTACGTCCTTTTCGTAGGACCATGGTTGAACCAGCTTCCGGGGTAATCCTGAAAGGATCATGTTGTGCTGGAAAGCAGACAACAGGACAGTCACGCCCCTGTCCCGCATATGGAAATGGTAGATTCCATTCCCTTTGTATTCGGCCTGATAATCCCTTTCCTTGATAACGTCCAGCCAATTGATATTGGCACTGACTTCGTCGTTCTGAAGCTGAAGCACACAAGGTTTCGGTGCTTCAAACATCATTTCTATGGTCTTCACTAGGACGTCGCTGATGAGGGGAACGTTCAAGAACCCGGCAAAGCTTTCTCGTCCCGCTAGTGCCCTGAAATGTGACCGAGAGTGCTGAAGAACCAAAGACAGCTTGTCTTGAAAAGGCTTAAAATGTTCAGAATACACGCTTTTCATTTCTGGCAGACAGTTCAGCATGCCGTCATCTTCCCTAACGTTGTGGCCAGAGCCTTCAACTGTGACAGTGTTGAAATCCATGTAGAACGTGGCACAATCTGAAGAAAAATCAGTTAGAAACCGGTGAGCACAAAAAATAAGGACAAACTACCAAAGACTGCCGTTTACTTGAGGACAAACATGGCAATGTGATACTGTTTCATGAAAAGGAGAGTGTGAAATGGAAGATGCTAGGCAAAGGTCCTGACAGCGCTAGTTATAAATCTATTCGTTGTCACGTGTGTGGAGATGTAGATAATTTATCATTGGCCCGCTGAAATATATATTACCACCACATTCATCTGGATTGTTCGCTTTGTGGACCGTGTTCAAGCTTAGATAATGACAAGGTCATGTTTCTAACATGATGCTTTGGCCGGAGTAAAGTTTACTCTTTGTGGGAAGCACGAATCCCGGATCTGACCCGTTCGAAGTTGAGTACACTACTCTTCCCTGCGTCTAGACCGTTATCAAAGCATAAACTTAAATGCGGGTGATTTTCTTCCGTAATCTCGCCTCCAATTCAGAGAGGGGTGTGGGAATTTGCTGATTGGGCGGGGAATCGAGACAATGGGTCCGCCCCCGCCTCCCGTTGTGCTTTCTGTTCAAATCAAAATGGGATAAAATACAGAGCATAGCCAATACGAAATTGCGTGACCGCTAAATGCGATAGTGAAAATCTGATTTTTCATGCGACAGTGACGGCCGCATTTGGATACAGACGTTGCAGATCATATCAGCGGTTGATTCCGTCATCTATTCCATGGTTCATGCGTGTGAGCCAAGGCCGTGCGGTTGATCGCCAGAGCCGGATAATCCCGCGGTCTTCTCAGGTTTGACTGCGTGTTCTGTTAACCCGTACAATTTAATTACAAACCCTTGAGAATGAAGAATAGTTGCATACCACAGGTTTCCGCAGGATATAAACGAAAGCTTGACGCAATGACAGCATTCCTACATGTACCAGGCAAAGTCCCTTCCTTTTCTTCGCTATGACCCGGTTAGTAATTTATCATTAGTTCAGATCCCGACCATTGTTCTTGACCACTCCGCCCGACCGCTCTGCTTGACCACTCTGCTTGACCACTTGGTTTAACCACCTTGCTAACCGCTCTCCTTAACCGCTCCGTTTAACCACTCTGTTTAGCCACTCTGCTTAACTACTCTGCTTAACTACCACAATAACCAATGAGACCACCACCACGTGATCCTGCAAGTAGTAGAAAGGTCGACAGTCGACATGTAGAACAGTTCTACTGTTCTACTTTCTACTATTCTACCATGGAAGGACTCAGGATATATAAGGACATTCATTCATGTATCTAGTTTAGTTCTTCGTGTTCAATCATACATTGTTACTTGTGTCTACTGTTCAGAACCTTTGGTGACTCGTACAACTTGATTATAACTTGACAACACTACGACCAGACCAATACTCCGGTATAGATCTGTTCGGCGCTCTATCTGGCATCGCTCCTCGATACCCTCAAAAGGACTTAGTCCGTATAAGGCCTGTCAGGCAACGGTACGGTTGAGAGACAGATCGTTGACGTTAGAAGCACAGAAGCATCAGGCAAGTATAACCCAGGAATCTTCTAACATAGCGACGACCCGCTAGTCGTGCGTAACACGAGTGCTGGAAACCTGACTTACACGATTCGCGCTTCCAGATGCAAGTGCGAACGCGCATAATATCCTCCCCGAGATGGAATTTGTCCGAACCAGGGCCGATGTAGGTAATGCAGGGTGGGGCAGGCACGGGATTGTAGGGAAGGATGCTATGGAATTACTGCCCAGGTCTGGGACTCTTGAAGACTTTGTTTTTATTTTGCTTATACTCGATATTGTACACCTTCAAAGTTCCTGTCAGATCCAGAAGTCGACTCTGCCAATCATTCCATATCGACGGCTTCAGGATCGTTAGGGTATCAAGTGCATCGAGATAGAAGAGGACGAATCATGTTCTGGTTCAGATCGGCTTGGCCAATTGACTGTCTAATTAACGCAACGTAGCTACTTTGCGTACTTGTCCTCGTCCGTGGGCGGGGTGTATGTGGCCTGGGTTGGAACGCCAGCAAGCGCAGTAATTCGGATAAAGTGACGACGGTACTCCAGATTGTCCAATGTTGCCGAATGAACGCATACGCGCTAGCGAAATGGTCAACAACTTCTCTTGAGCATAAACGGAGAAACGCAAGCCAGCAGCTGCTCACCTGGTCCCATACGCAAACGTCGCCCTCGTTCCACTTATACCTCGCGTGAAAGTCTGCGCCCTTAGTAATATGGTCACTAAGAAACTTGAGCAGGTACTCGCTCTCCTCATGCCTCAACCCTTCGAAGTGGGTTATCCGCTCGGGGTTAATGTAAAGGGATTTATACCCAGTGGCCTACGTGGCTGTTAGCCGAACACACTCGTAGGAAATGATCTCAAGTGTTATACTCACCGGTTGCTCATAAACAACAGGATGCACAGACTCAACATCCTTTCGTCTGTTTGCACCTCCCACCCTTGCTGCCTTGCCTGTCATGACCTTCGACGAGTGAACGGCTCTGAGACCGCATAAGAACTGCTTCATTGGCGGACTGAGGCGTTCATATGCCTCAACAAGGCTTCCAACCAGCGTGTCGCCGCCTGACGGAGCGTCACTTTGCATACAGCAGAAGAAGGTGATTCCTGGGGGTTGGCGCTCTTGGGTTTGATCAATGTGCCAAATAGCTCGGGATAGTCGATTGGGCCACCAATGTTTCTTTTTTTTTTCTTAGTCAACCATGCTCTGCACTAGAGATAAAGCTCACCTACCCTAACAGTGTTCACGTTATCCTGGTAAACAACAGAGATTTCAGTCGAGTCACGAGGTCGCGGCTGGACAGCGTGCTGGTGTAGCTGCCCATAATATCGGACCATTTCTAGCTTCTTCTGCAAAGAAGTGTCTCGAAAAGTCTGCTTGACATTGTCGTCGCTAGCAAAGAAGACAATTCCTTTCTTAGCTGCAAGAAGGGCAAGCTGGTCCTGGCCAGCCTTGTCAAGTGAGGCTAGGTCAAGTCCAGTCACCCGGACACCAATGTAAGGCGTGAGCTATTCCATTGCATCCCCGTCAGTAGTAGTCCTGCTCTCGAAAAGTATACGAGAATACGAGATTGAGAGTATTAAAAACAAGCGGGGACTTCGTACCTCCTCCACCTTAACATGATCGTTAAAGAACACGGGCATTTCGGGGTCGGCATCTAATGCCCGGTCATAATACTCGAAAGGCTCAGGCTCCGGGAAAATTTCATCCGGATCATTGTAAGGAGAGTACTCAGGGTATTTGAGTCCATCGGAATTGACCCTGGTTGTCTGTTTCTTGTCCACAGGGGAAGCTCCCTTGGCCTCGAAAGTTGTGATGGTGGCCATCTTGACTCTTTTCTGGATTGGAGATAGAATAAATTGCTTTTGATGTTTATTCAGTAGTTGGAACAAATTATTGCTGTAGGAATGGTCGAGGGTACTCGAAGCAATATATGCCTGCTCCCAATACGATTACATAATCGCCATCCAACTGCCAGTTCCACCGCGGAAGACCATATCCGCGGAATTTAAAAACACGGTAATATAAAGTTGAATCGGCATGGTGCGCCACGTACGAGCGAAAGCTAGTTTGTGGATGATGTGCGTCCTACTCAGAGTTCCCTTTTTATTGCCGCCAACCAGAGAAGTTCGCGGATTTCTCCCGGACCTTTCTTTCGTCTTCGCCTTCTCTAGGAGGATATTGGACAACCACGGCTTATCAGCCATCTGGACCTTTGAAGGCGCTCGAGGTGAGGGGTAGCGCAACTCAAAATCACATATAAATTATCTATCTTTTCTACACAAAAAAGCTCGCACACTCTGCTTATATAGAGCTCACTGAAGTGAGATCTAGGCTTGAGCATCATACAAACCCACAACGCCTATCTTGCCATGTCCCAGAAACTTGAAAACGACGACATCAAGAGTGGCCCTGGATGCCTCGCTTTAGACGATGATATGGTCGCCTCCAGCATCAAGAATGGAGACATCGCCCTCAATCTAGCGGCTGAGCTTGATTCTGGCTACCAAGCCTCTCCCGAAGTGGAGCGAAGAGTTCGACGGAAGATCGACTTCATCCTTCTGCCCCTCATTTCGTGCACAGCTACCTTGTCTTTTCTTGATAAGGTATCCAACAACTATGCTAACAACGTGGGTTTGGATCCGATTTTACCGCCTCCTAGTGGCATTCCTGATGATATCCCTCATAGTACGGCCTTTCTACTGCCCTCAACATGCACGGTGAGCAGTTCTCATGGAGCGCGTCCGTCTTCTATTTCTCCTTCCTGGTCTGGCAACCAGTTGTCTCCTATATGAACCAGCACTTTCCTCTAGGCAAAGTCGTCTCTGTAAGTGAAACTTGGAGGCTATTTAGGCTTGATGATGTGGGCTTATGGGATATATATAGATCAACTGCATTTGTTGGGGCCTCATCTTGCTGGGGCAGGGCTTTGTCAAGAACTATACTGGTTTTGTTGTTCTTCGATTCTTCCAAGGTATCTTCGAGGCCTGTGTCCTGCCAACTTTTTTCTTGATGTGCCCGATCTGGTGGACAAGGGAAGAGCAGTCCTTACGAGCGGCATTTTTGTGAGATAGCTCTTAATGCTGCGGAATTTTACGTCAGGAACTAATCCCTATGGCCAGGTTCAACTCCGTCGCCGGGATTCTCGGCGGGCTATTTGCCTATGGCATCGGTCAATGGCACCTGCAACCTGACATCCACCTCTATCAATATCTCTATATCACATATGGCGCGTTCACTACAGCGTGGGGTATTTTGCTCCTTGTCGCCCTCCCTGACTCCCCTGTCACCGCCTGGTTCCTTAACCACGAGGAGCGACTTGCCGCTGTCGCCCGTGTCAGGCGGAACCAAACCGGCATGGTCAACCGTAAGTTCAAAAGGGACCAAGTGCTTGAGACGATACTTGACCCCAAAACATGGTTCTATATCCTCTTCACTTTCGTCTCCAACGTTGTCAATGGAGGTCTCAATGCCTTCTCTACTGCTATCATTAAGGGATTCGGCTTTAGTGAGTTCTATACCTCATCTTAATTATATTGTCTGACAGCTGTCCCAGGCACTGTGAACACGACACTATTGTTGGTGCCATGGGGCTTCGTTGCTACGTTGACGAACATAATCATCGGTCTCTGTATCTCTTACACAACTGGCAAACGTCTCTTCTACATGTCCGGCGTTATTCTCATCCCCATGATCGGAACTATCATCCAATTCTCCCTCCCTCACGCCGCAAGAGGGATATTGCTCTTTGGATACTACCTTACTGGTGCATACAATGCCCCCTATGTCATGCTGCTGGCCCTGGTTGGCTCTAACACAGCCGGAACGACGAAAAAGGTCGTCACAAGTGGAGTGGTTTGGACAGCCTATTGTGCTGGTGAGTTTACTCCAAATTTGGCGCCTGTCTCTCTAACATGGGCATAGGCAATATTGCCGGACCATTCTTCTTTCCCCAGCAGGATGGACCGCGTTACCATCTGGGTACCGGTGTGCTTTTAGGCAGCTTCGTTCTGCAGTGCCTCATGGCGCTCGGATTCCGTTTGTATCTGCGCTGGCTCAACAAGCAGAAAGAAAGTGAGGACACGGGTTCGCAGGGCGACCAGGAGGATAGCGCAGCACATGCCTTTGCGGATTTAACCGACAAGCAGGTTGGTCATAGTATCCATTCTGATTATCCAAGCCTAACTCTGACGGTGCGCAGAACCAGCTTTTCAGATACACGTACTGATAACGGACAGTGGAGAGGAAGCTTGAGATTTACTTTATTATTGTTGCAAGCTCATGAGGACAAGAGGCCTTGAGATGAGTCCAGACAGGCAGATTTTGAGTGATACTCTGTACGCCGTCTGACCAATTTTCTTAATTCGACAGTGTTCATTGATATATTCTTCGATGATGCCTATCCTAGGTAGAATAATACTCGCTCAATACTAATCCGAACTATCAAGGTAGTTTGATGAATGCTAGGATACTATGAGAGAGAAGAGTAAGGAAGAGGCGTAATTGTCAATAAATCCCTCGAGCTGCGGCGATTTAAGATCTTCTTGTCAACTTCCCCTAACCTTGGACCATGTTGAATAGCGTCGCTCAGGTCCCAATAGTCGTCGTTTGGGGAAAGCTCGTAGCTCACGGAATGACCGGTCATTATGATTCCGAAGAACGGCTGGCGGATTTCCTGCCAGCACCAAATGAGAGCCGACAATTGTAGTGTATGTACACATGCAGTAAATCTGGACCGCGCACCTCGTTTACAGCCGTAGCTCGCAATGCTTTGGAGACTTCCCACCGACTGTCATGGGGCGCAATTATTGATAGGAAAGCATCTAGAATAGATATACGCACATGAATCACATAAATGTGGGAGTATCTCATTTTGATGCCGACAACCTATTCAAAAGAACTACGCTAAATCCCCGTCATACCATTAGGCGCAAAAGTACCCCATCCCGGCGGCCTGCCGTCACCCATTTCAACATTAAAGGGATTGCTAGTCCAATAGTCCGGAGCCACAATGTTATTGGCTATTAACATATCGAACAGTGATTGCCCATGCAATGGGGAGAGGCTAGAGGTGTAAGAATGGTCTGCCCACCAGTCGGGCTGCAGCATCCATGAGGTATCTTCGATAGCGGCATCGTGTGTGGCATGATATTGTTGAGCTGTCGGAACGCCAGAGCCTTCAACTTGCTATACATATAGCGTCAGTGTAGCCCTGGCATTCAAAAAAAAAAAAAAAAAAAAAAAAAAAAAAAAAGGAACAAAAGGAGCGGTAGCACAAACCACGGAGCTCGGAGTCATCGAAAGAGTGTCTCCGTTGGAGGGGATACCAGACGAGGAGCATGTGGCTGGATCCACCGGAGGAGGAACCCAACCTAGCCGCTGAAGCTGCTGGACCACCTCAGGCTTTTGTCGAATCATTTCTTGGATGTCGATCGTTCGAGACATCGACGGCGATGAACTTCCATTGACCCTCCCGGAGTTCTTCGATTCACTAATCGGGCCCGGAATTTCGTTCAGGCTGATCAACTTATTACAGCATTCCTGCAGTAATCGCTTCATCACATCTGCACTCTGTGCGGCGCACTGCCATGTCTGACCCATCGATTGTAAGAGGTCGATGTATCTCTTCACTAAGTCGACATCAAGATCCGCTTTCTGGTTGTTGGCTGCACTGGGCAAGTGAACGGTTCCAGCAGTGAATATAAATTGGGTCATGGAGACAGGAGCACATCGAAGTCCGTAAGTCCTGTCGAATACCTAGGAATTCGGTTCTTAGGTTAAAGACACAGGGGAAGAAAAGCAAAGCTCGCAGTATTACACCGTTGACTTACCTCAGCGAGATGCAAAACCTTGACACTGTAAACAGCCAAGTAATCAGTATATGACATGAATCCCACCATTCCGGGAGGAAACTGACTTACGCGGCTTGATTGCACTTCTCAGTAGCGGTCGTCAGAATATCAGAGTTGTGCGTCTTAGATATTGGTCTCCGACGCTGTGGCGTGCCGCAAGAATCTGGTCGGTTAAGCAGAATGATTGCAAAATGAAACATTATATTCATGACCAGAACATGAGGCAGTATCGATAGTACGCCCTGGCCCCGAAGCATGGATGAGCTGACGCGAAGCTGCTCGGGAAGCTCTTCATTCCACTTTTCCAACAAAACACTGCCCAGACAATTAGCGGAAATATAATGACTGGACTTCCTGAATCGCTCACCAAAGGTCGTATCTGTTGTTCCGTATCTTGCCGGAGGTTCGGGTAGAGTAGCTTTCACACAAATGAGCCATGTAAACGTCATGATTCTTGATATAATTCGAATGCCGGAGACTTACATATGAGTCAAGGTAAGCTCAATAATCCTTGCAAGCTTGCAGGTCCAAGCCAACGTCGACGCTACCCAGGAGCTTCGAACTGGCTCAGACTCAGAATCATCCAAGCCGTGCCAAGGCCTTGCATCCTCCTCTTTATCGATCGGGCATAACACCATATGCCAGTTGGACAGGTTGGGAGCAGGTGCACGACCGACATAGGTCGACCATAGCTTGTCTTGGATGTAGACGTTGTTCCAGATTCGGTCACGAGAACGCTTGGTCTCCGGACTTATGAGGCCCTTATCGACCCAAGAGGAGACATCAGTACTGAGGCCAACTGAGTTTTTCTTTGATTAGCCAAAGCCTATACTGCAATCCACAATTCTTGAATCCCAGTGCGTGAAAGTGGGATGAGAGTTACTCACGAATCCGAGTCAATCTCATGCCGGTCCCCGAGTAGATATATCCCAGACTCTGCCTAGCATGTCCTGCATGATGCGATCCCAACAACATCAGTCCAACCACTGCACTCAACTTGGCACTCTCAATTTCTTCCTCAAAGAATGTAGCGGCATTTCTTGCAAAAGAGTCGGAAACACGTCCTCGATCGAAACTAGGCCCCTCGTTCAAGTACATGACTCCGATGGCAAGGATGGCGAAATGTAGGAGCGGGCTATAATGATCTGTGCGGAGTTCGTTTCTTACAAACGCACTCGCTTCTGTAGGAACGGTACCCATATCGTCTCTGAAGCGCTTTTCGTCCACCCACCAGCACCAAGGGTTGAAGAAGGCGAAGAACGCGCGAAGCGCTTTTAGATGCATTGCCTTGTCAAACGTTTCTTGCAAGCCTGACAGTGCGAGCTTTCCAGAATGCGTGGTGATGGTTGTAGAAGAGGACGTTCTAGGCTTTTCAGGACTAGTGGACGAGTTTTCGGTTGCGGGAAGATGTTTGAACATTGACGTCGGTCCGTACTCCCGAACTTCCCCAGTAATATTATCAATCTAGGAACGTATAAGGATAATAATCCTGGCCAAAAGATATAGAGATAGAGCACAAGCTAGGCTTGTATCAAAAGAGAAAGGAGAGACACATACCTGGAGATGCTCGACGGGTCTGTGAGATAACTCGCGGTCAGGCTGTGGTTCGGATGCTAAGCGGCAGGGCCGATCTCGTTCTCCATCCTCCAGTTCTTCTTCAATTTCTCCTGCCTCCTCCTTTTGGCTTTCCCATAACCCTTCCAGCCAGGCTACACGATTCTCAAGTGCAGCCACGTAGGCCTTGGATACTGGTCGTCGTCGGTCTTGGGCGGCGTCGTATGTGCATTCGGTATTACACATCACACAGGGAGCTTATCGCACACAAAATCAATGAGAGACGTCACAATATGTAAGGAAACGGGCGGAAACTTCTAACCACATGTAGGCCGCGCGCCATTACACCGGGTCTTCCTGTTCATAGGCAATTAGCGTAGAACGTGGCAACGACGCGAGTAGTAAGAAATACTTTCGGCGGCAAGGGTTACAGGCCCTAGTGATGTGCTTGGTCCTCTTTCTCTTCCTAGCATTGCCGGACTCAGATTCCTCGTACCGACAATGAAAGTTAGTATTATCGCTCATGTTGCAATTTTGTGGTTTTGCGAGCACAATTATGGAGGGAACAAAAAGCGAGCGACTGAACGCTGTGAGATTCCTGGATCACGCGCAGGTCACGAGATAGTAATCGACCTAAATGAACCAGCTCCGTGGAAACCTTAAATTACGATAGGTAAGCGGGGATTTCGTGTGTGGTGGCCCAATCATTGTGGATCTTCTATGTCATGAATCATTTCCAACTAAATTTATTACAGCAGCAGCAAAATGGAAAGGCGGGGCGAACCTTGCGCCCAAAGCGCTATGTACGGGTTGCAAACTATCAGCCATCTTATGAACCAACCGCCAAACGACCTTTTCGGGGCCTTCGATTCTCACATTCGGGACCTAACTTGTATCCACTTTGAAGAACGAAAGCCGAAAATAGTGTCTCAGTCAGCGGCGAAATCGAATGCTGGAAGGGCGAGTGGTGATTAGGTATCTGTCTGTGCGGATTGGCGTTTGGGTTTGAGTAATTCCTATAACCTTTTATCCTTCTTTAATTCATTTTGATTTATCCACTCTCAGAGGCAATATGTTGCAGCAGAGTCCCCACCAAATCGAAAGCAACCACGATATCATCTGGAAAGATCACGGGTCGAGGGCTTACTGGAGACGGATGACCAAGAAATCCTTATCCTTTCTAAAACTATACGGGAACGGGAGCAAAAACGTACTCTATTATCTATGGCTATCAAATGAGCGCCTGGTAAGCGACAAATCAGCCTCCGCACCGGAAAACAAATTCCATTAGCATCTAAGCTGACATTCACTTCCGCTGTCTCGTAGGCTCGCACGCTGCAACGATGATCATGAAAGAGCCGGAATTAGATTTTCCGACATGAAACGGAGCCCGTACCCCGAACAGCGGCGGGCCAGCTTCAGAACCCGGAAAATGAAATTCCGGTATCATCTACGATGGCATTCACGTTGGCCGTCTCGTTAGCTTGCTGCTCTATCGTTGAGTAGATACTTCTCCCAATTTAGATCGTCCAATAAGAAATTAGAAATCTGCTCCATAACATGCATAACGGATACGAAATTTACTGTTCATCAAAGACTGCCAAGGCGTGATTTTGGAGGGGATTGGTGACAAGGGTCTAGGTTCAACGACTGGCGTAATTGTATCCTCACACGTTATAGGCAGAACAGTTATAAAACGTTAACTCCCTACCCTATCTGATTGGAGATCGTAACCAGCACTATTGATTACGGCTACTCCTTCTCTGCAGCACATCGAGCTTTCGGCTTCTCATCTCTTGGAATAGTTCTGAACTTGAGTGAACGCTGTATTCAGGGCATACCATCATGGGAAGTGACTCGACCGTGTCCAGTCAGTTGATTTCACGCATTGGGCAGTTTCGAGATGGGGATTGGGACACGGCTGTTCGGCGTCGGACGGAGCTATGTCTTATTGATAGTCTTGCCTGCTACTCAGCTGGTCGCTCGCTAAAACACTTTGCGCCAAGTGCGATCGTGGCCAGCCAGCTGCTCGGAACGAATTCTGACGGATCAGAGCTTTCACCATTTGTCATGGCATATCTGTATGGTCAAGCCGCCAATTCGCTGGATTATGACGATACGCTCATGGGTCATCCAGGCGCCGCGACCATCGGTGCTATATTGGCTCTTGCGTCACATGAACGCTTGTCAACAGACAGACTATTACGCGGAATCGCTGCAGGATATGAGATTCAGTGGCTTCTGAGTGTCGCAGCAGCTCCATCATATGAACGGGCAGCGCTTGTCCGGTCTGTTGGCGTATGGGACACCGTTGCAGCAAGTATTGGTGTATCTGTCTCTTTAGGCCTTGAAGACTCTATGATAGAGCGAGTGATAGGGGTCGCCGTATCCCACTCAGTGTTGCCCTATACGGCGAAGTGGTACACCAGGCCTATTCCAGCTCTGAAAAATAACCTGGGGTGGGCTGCTGCGGGTGCCGTGATGTCTACATGTCTAGCGCGTGCAGGACAAACAGGAGTTATGAATGCGCTTGATGGCGAAACAGGGATGTGGCGGATGGCTGGGTCAGATCGTTGGAACTTGGATCAACTTTTTTTGAGAGGCCAGCCGTGCTGCGGGTCGGCTTCAAGCACTTCCCGGCATGCTGGCATCTTCAGGAATACTTAAAAACCGTTTCGAAGCTCCTGGAGATGATGGCACCGAAAGATGACGTTGTCGAGATCATCGTCGCTGGCCCTGAGGAAATCAAGAAATTCTGTCAACGCGATATCTCTGGTTCGGCTGACATTGCATTCAGCCTACCTGCTACTTTCAGCCTGTTGATATCACGGGTAGAGCCCGGTCCACTCTGGGACTCTTTTGGCAACGGAGATGATGCCTTGCGTTATGCAGAAACGTTCCGTTATGAGGAATCAGAGGATAGGGCCATAACCCTGCGTACGCGGCGTGGTTCCGAAATGAAGGCTGTGGTTAATGTGTGTGGTCATTATCATTTTGATAAGGCCTCTTGGGGCTTGGATGAAGACGGTGTTCTTGCTAAACACGCACGTCTAACTGACACCACACTACGCACGGAGACAGCAGCCGCCCTCGCAGCTCGGAATTCTTCGGAAAGTAGCGTGCCAGACCGTCTCTATCGTGCGATGAGGAACGATATGGCAATCAAGCATCACGAGAGCAATTAGTCGGCCGCGAACATTTCCGGTCTACGAACGAGACCTGGTGTCGACTAGCCAAGAGTGTACTGCACTTAAGGTCGACGACTTAAGTCCCTTGGACCTATTCACGATCCGACTGTTGGCACAATCACGCCTTTTCCTAGTTGTTTCAATTGGACTCGAGGGAGTTGTGGCGGCTTAGCATGGCTCTGTGGCAAAATCAATTAATTTTAAGTCTTTTTACTATATATGACTCCGGTCGCGAGAATGTAATTACGGATGGACGATGGCAGCAAGCACCACGCCAATTGACCGATGCCCATATCAGCTTTCTATATTAATTTTTCCAATTTCTCTCTCTCTACAAAATTTCCTTATTTTCTCTTCAACCTTGTTGATCCAGGTTCGTCTACGGCTTGTTTAGTTGATAGAACACGCTAGATTTTCAAACATCTTTCTCAAGTATGCACAAGAATATGCAAATACGGATGTTTAGGGCATACGGTGGTGTTCCAAAAATGTGAAACCCTTTACCTACCGCTTAAGCGGGTAACCGGTTTCAGACTACGGAACACGACTGTACCAAGCAAGATGGCTATAGTAATCCCATTGATTTTGGTCCAGCTCCATCTAATCTGACCAGTATATTTCATCATAGTTACCTTACTCTTTGAACAATCTTTGCAGCACTGGAATGTACTTGACTTTGTTAATTACTCCAACGCAACGAATAACTGAAATTATTAAGGAACGAGGCCGTTAAACAGCTTCAATGATTTAGCAAAGTTTAACTTAGCTCCGTAAACGTGAGCTAATGCAGTGTCCGCTTGGAAGAGACTTTAAGAGGTTGTCTCTGCATCCTTAACAGCAGCTGTCAAAACATCCCTTAATGCCCAAGCATCCAAGCCAACCCCAATCATCTGGATCCCTTTAGACATCATTTCCCGAACTCCATCTGTAGAAGGGCGTATACGACCTCCCTGCCATTTCCCCGCAGCTTTGGCCAGGTATGTGATACGTTGAATCGCGTCAACCACCTCTCCTGGTGGGTTATGTTGTGTGAGCGGATAGCCCATCGACAGACACATGTCGGTCTCTCCCGTCATTTTAATGTCTTAGAAGTGAGTAAAGGTTAGCCACGCATGGAAGATTTTCCTACCTGTAAGAAGACGCAAGTGACCCTTACCGATCCCCTTGGTATTGATAATTTCCTCTGCGTTCTGGAAGCCTCTTTGTGTCTCAATCATGATTGCTACAACGATCTCATCATTTGCCTTTGTGAGATACTCGTCGTCAGATGACCAGCCAAAGGCGTCTCGCGAGTAAGTCGATCCGAACCCACGAATCCCCTGCGGTGGAAACCGAGCAGCAGCGGCAATAGCGGCAGCTTCCTCCTGCGTATCCAGTGGGAGACAGCCCTCGGTCAGCCTTTGTATAAGAGAATGAGGATTATTACCAACTGGGTTTCACTGACTGGTGTCGAAACCATTGGAATGACAATACCGTGAGCCCCAGCGTCTAGCGCCCTCTTGATAAGCCACCCCTCACATGATGGCAGCCGGACTATGGGTGACACGCCGAAGGGAGCTATCGAGTGGATGGCTGTGTGCATCTCGGTATCGGACATACCCCCGTGCTCTAAATCTACCAACACATACTTTTTCCAATCAAATGTTATTGCATATCCCTTCCTTTCACCGCCAGATATGAACTGAAACTCACAGTAAGTCCTGGTATGCCAGCAATTACACGCGCAACGTGTGCGGAAGGCATGACCATCTGGACACCCAATGCGTAACGTCCCTCTTCCAAGGCGTTCCGTAATGGACTTCCGTTAATATTTGCGGGCATGACGTAGCGAAGACGATAAATAAAATCCGTGGCAGTCTGACGCTGGCTATGTACTATAGGTAGTGCCCGAATGCTGAGCACTTCCAGATTGCGTGCTAATCCTTGAAGCTGCGCCTTTCTTTGGGACCAGGAGCAGACAGTACCCTGATTGTTGCAAACACTAGGAAGGGATTTGACAGTCTATTTATCTTCTGTGGCCTCAGCTTGATTGCGTGAACAAAGACCCCACATTTAGCAAAGTGGCTTTATCCAAATTGTGATCACCATAGAGCAGCCTCAGAAACGGCCTTGGGAAAGTGGGGGTTTCATCCATAGGGGGAGCGCGAGTAATGGTATTGAACTAATATCCCGAGCCTATTGGCGACATTTTTCTTATCGAACGAATGCATCGGCGGGTTCCCATGCTGCGGAATTTCAATTTCCGATCTGGTAGAGTTGCTAAAGTTTTGGAAGCTCCACTTCAGCGCCACTTTCAAGCTTAGTACTATGACACGACATGATTCTTTCCCCGGTTTGGAATGGTGTTGCTGTCTCTCCTCTTTCACAATACGTACGGCACGACTCCGTAATACATTCATACAGGTATAACCGCTAGCGTCGTCAGAAACTTGAAAAGAGCGGTCTTGCCCTTGAGCTGCTTTAATCTGTCCTTGATAAAACCCAAAGTTCGAGCAGTTTATGTATACATATCCACAAAATGGGCAGTACTCCGTCCGAATCGTTCAAAGCCCGCTTACTGAGTCGCGAAAACCTCATCACCAACACTGCTGGTATTGCTCCCGGTTACTTACAAGCCAACTTACTCGCTCTACCAGCTGCATACGCTAGCGATTTCTATGATCTTTGTTTGCGCAACCCAGTGGCCTGTCCTCTGCTCGGGGTTACAGTCCAAGGTAACCCAAATGTTGTTCAACCAGCGGGCTGTATTCAGTCCGAAGACTTCGACATGCGAACGGACTTTCCTCTGTACCGGGTCTATCAACACGGAAAGCAAGTTGAGAGTCGCAATGAAGTCCTGAATGGATGGAGTCTCGACCATGTCGGATTTCTGATTGGATGCTCATTCTCCTTTGAAGAGGCTCTGAGGTCTGCTGGTCTGACCCCACGTCACCATGTGACAGGGTCAATGGTGCCGATGTATCGATCACATCTCCCACTATTACCCGCTGGGGTGTTTACAGATTGCAAGTGTGTCGTATCTATGCGACCATACCTGCCGGAGGAGATTGAAAGAGTACGTGCGGTAACCCGTCAATATCTTGTCACGCACGGTGAACCTATCGCCTGGGGATGGGACGGAGCTCTACAACTGGGAATAAATGATCTCTCGCGTCCAGATTTTGGCGACCCCCCAACGTTCCAAAAGGGAGAGGTCCCTGTGTTCTGGGTGAGTTCACTCGATATTACCATGGATTAATACTGACAAAACAGATAGGCTTGTGGTGTGACGCCACAAGTGGCTGTTCAGGAGATGGGCACAACGATTGATGGCCTGGTATTCGCACATGAGCCAGGGCATATGCTGGTGACAGACTGGCTAGTTACTGACTTGCCCAGATTGCTGCCAGGGACGATTTGGAATGGCACATCCTCGATTATCTGAATGGAAATTGAGATGTCTGTAAGCGCCATTCTTCTGAATACCTGTCTTGCGGGTATATACCTCGTGCGTTGGGCCTGATATGATGCTTATTTATACGGCAATGGCTTTCTCGTGTTCCAGCACGTGCCCAGAAATATCACCATGTGCACCAAACGCGGTAAGTGACGTCCACCACGTCTCTGGTTTCAAGCATCTCTGCTGAAGCCGCAGTCGAAGCGTCGGCTGGTCTCGCTGCAAGGTTGAGTTAGCCGGGCTGTTGACACCCTTAGGCTTCAGCGACGGTCGCGTGTTAGGGCGGCGACCAAGTAAGGGCATGGCGTCGAGTTCGTCCACCGCGCGGCGCGTTGGCTGCCGAGAGATGGCAGGCATTATTTCGGACAATGCGAGAGATGATGGTTCGACTGGGGCTCCCGATGCTATTTATCGTCGCCATGACCTTACGTTCCCATAAAGTATTCCTTGGCACGTTCAACGCATGTCCCTAATCTGTCATACCTCACTTTACAGCTCGTAGGAGGATGAAGATTGTAGTTGGCGGCACGGCCCATACTTGGGCGGCGTAAGAAAGTTGATCGTACGCTCTTCCGAGTTTCGCTTCACCGTCCCACAGTGTCGTACGGTCAGATGATAGATTGCATCTTGGGAGCTAGCTTTACTTCCCCTTACGCTCTCTAATTGACAGTCAATAAAGGGCGTCACTTTGAAACCGGGTGCAATTATCTGATGATTGGAAATATAACATGGCGGTGCAAAGACACAACGACCGAGAGACATGCAAACGGGTAGTCCATGTATAGGGCGGGTGAAAATCGGACTTGAACGGTTGATAAGTCGCGTTTAAATTGAGGGGTAAGTGTTCATTGGGTGCAAACCATCAGAAGCTGGAGGGCCACTGGGCCTCACGTATCTGGGCTAGAACACGTGACCATCATTGACTGACTACCCATCTATAAAAGCACCAGCCAATTCCCAGTAATTCGGATATGCAGGGTGCGTCCTAAACCTATCCGACTCCTCTACATACTCTGTTCTGATGGACCTACCTCCAAGTGATTCTGCTTGCGAGAGCGAAGACTATTTGCCAGGCGAGGTGGAGAAACCGGCGAACGAGCAACTCGAACGCGAATTGCAGTCAATCGAAACATACAAGGATGCTCGGAATTGGGAGCGTCAGATGAGTGTCACACTCACTATCTCTCCAAGATATGTGCAAAACTGGGATCATGCTGCTGCATTTCGGGAGCTGTATCAGAACTGGTAAGTGAACCAGGCTGTTCCCGACCACGCTAACGTGAGATAGGAAGGACGCCATCTTGGAACATTTCGAACTAAACCGCCTCGATTTCCAGCCGTACTACGAAGATAAAAGTGGCTGCGTGTCGATCATCGTACCAGACCCTAAGGAACCACATCAGCGTCGTCGGGCCTTGGGATATATCAAATATGATAAGAAAGCAGGTCGCGTCACCTTGGCGAACCCTTGTGCTCAAATTCAGCCAGAGAGTTTGCAGCTTGGGCACACGTCCAAACAAGGCAAAACTAACCTTGCAGGATGTCATGGGGAAGGACTCAAGCTGGCAGCCTTGGTGATGACCCGAAACGGTTACAAGGTGAAGATTGCTGCAAGCAACTGCCACTGGAGATTTTCTTTGCAGGGTCAATCCGGATCGCGCTTTTGTTGCGTGATATGTCCGTCGAAGAAAGCTGATGCCGGCTCCCAGACAGACGCGACTGACGATATGGCTCGGTTGCGTTCTCGCATTGACAGGGACGTCACCATTGAAATCGGCACAATGCGCGACAAAACTGCACAGCCAGTTCCACTTGACGTTTTGATGAAATGGATGGAAACAACGATGGACGTCCGCGGTCTCTCTTATCCCTCGCACATTATCGAAACCGAACACGGAGACCTTATTCTGGACCCAAGATTCCAGGGCAAGGTCTACCTCAAGGGAATGCTTCTTCCCGCATCTGCTTCCAGGACGTTCAAGTTGGGTTACAATTTCGCAAAAGGGCAGTTCAGTCGGGATAGACAGAGTCTGCTTGACAAGTGTGAAGAAGCTGACATAGTGCGGCGCATATGGGAGACTGCCATTCAAATGCACCAGACGGCCATGCTCCCGATCTACATCAATCTCCTCCGAAACTTCCCTCAAGCGGCCGATGTTGAGTCGGCCGACCAGCTGCTGGAAGAGTCCACGAGGAAACTTATATGGGAGCATCTGCTGAATGAAGCCAATAACAAGAAGTTCTACTACGGCGAGAAATGCCATGTTAAGGTTGGTGGTAAAGATTGCTAGAGTCAGAGTTGCGGTGAAATGACATTGTACAGGGTATTACCATGATCTCCAAAATCCTGAAAAAGGAACCAACCATGCTCCCTGGAATGCTTTGGGATCTTCTGCGCCCAGGCTCAGCAATAAGAACGGCGGAAGAAGAGCAGATCAAGCTGTTCAGGGATGCGGAGCTATGCGCCCCGCCAGAATCGACGTTCGCGGGGGCGATACTGAGAGCTGTGCGCGCATGTATAGCTATGTCCAAACAGACGGAGCACATGACGATACGCCTTGTACAAAGCAACATGGTGGATGTCGATTACTTTTTCGACTCAAAACGCGATACATTGAACATCCACCACGAGTGGTTGCACCGGCAATATTCGTGCAAAGATTCCGGCGAAGTGGCAGCAAAGGACGCTGTGGTCTTTTGCGATCATATCATTGAGAATGTCCTGAGTATGTTATCAGCGACGGTCTTCTCGACCGCGCCTATCTCCTACCGCAGCAAAATGCAAACGGTACACGAAATGATGTTACCCAAAATGCAAAGGGTACTGCATGTCAAGCACGCGCTTCGGTTGATGCCACAAAGAGTCATTCTGAAGCAGTCTCTACCGGGGATGTTGGTGGTTAGCTGGGAAAGCAGCGAGACAGAATCATTTGGGATTTATGGCCAACAAGAGACATACCTTGTGGTTCTTCACAAGGAAAAGTGCATAGACTTGAGCTCAGGGCTTTTACATGTGAACAGAGGTAAGTTGTCAGCCATCCTGTGAGCTCATTCCAAGCATCTTATTCTCTTTTTTTCCTAGTCATCTGTCCAGGCGGACATGCTCCATGTGGCTGCGCTCAGCGGCTCATAGGCCAAGGTAGTAAATTGGTGGAGTTCACTCACTTGGATTGTTCGTCACGCTACTTTCCTATGGTCGCTGAGAACACAAGACCAGCCATTTACGGGCTTCCTCCCAGGCCAATCTTTCCCGCGGGGGAGAACCCGAATCCTGCGGCCGCATTACCCGTGGTTCGGATGGAAGGGCTGCCTGACTGGTCTAACAAACGGCAGAAGCGAACGTAGATAAATCAGCCGAGAGCGAGGCTGGATTGCAATGGATGAGGGGACTCATGGTCGAAAGAGTTAATTCTCTAGATTAAAGTTACAAATCTGCCGAATATTGCTTACGATTGTCGTGGTTGAATCAACACTGCCCAAACTTCATAGCCAGTTGACAATTTCCAACGGTCAACTGTGGTCATCGGTAACCGGTGGGCCCGACCGGGGTGTTCATGGTGTTCATGCTTGAATGACAATCAGATCGTCTTCAGCCGATAAGTCGTCGAGGCGTACGATCTCTAACGCCTAGCCTGAACATATATCAAGGGGTTGAGCCTTGTTTGAAGGATCAAATACAATAATGGTTCTCACAAGCAATGAGAAGCGCGCCTTCTTCAGACAACAGTGCCGTGAGGCATTGGCAGCCCATATTAGTATGTTATGGTCTTCTCTCCGCCTGATGAGCGAAACTTAACTCGCGTCAGATGACCGACTTGGCCTTGTCGTCGCTCCCAGCCAAGTCCGGCTACAGCCATCGGCTGGGGATGGATACGCTTGGTCGGTGACGGAATCCAAGAAGAGCCTGTTGCAGTCGAACTTGGGCGGTGGAAGTGTCGGCCTGTACAGGTCCATTTGCGAAGAACTAGGCTGGTCGCTTGAGGCAGTTACTCCGCAGACGCTGCAGGTTGCCCAGTTAGAACGAGACCATCTGCCAAGAGAAGACGTGAGCCTTGCGAGCCCTACAGTTGGCCAATGCAATACTAAAGTTGGATATAGTCTGGGCCAGCCCGTGCTGACGAGGAGGAAAGCGGCTCTTTTACGGCAAAGATCCGCGAGTTGGAATGCGCCAATCATCGAATGAAGAACGAGCTCGGCCGCATCAGCATCCATCTCCAGGAGTCCCTCGACGAGAATCGCACATTACACGCAAAAATTCGTCGGCTTCAGGACGAGTTGGATAGTAGCTCATCTCGAGCAACTCACCTAGAAGACGAGTTGGTCCGTGTCACAAAAGGGATCACCGAAGCTATGCAGGTTTTACAGGATCATCAAGCCCAGGAGCGGAGCATGCCAAATTTGCATGGATGCAGACAAGGTGAATCTGGTAATAGCACAGACAGCATGGCGCTAGGAATATCGCAGGCTCCGCTACGCGACGAGGTGGCTTGACTGACAATGTGGTCGCGTGTTCGCGTTAACTTACGAGCGCTCCGGCCAATGGGTGCTGTTGAGTGGATCCAAAGTTGAACCCCCGTTTTGGGAAATATCCTTTTGCGCCCATCGCAACGCGGTTATCACCAGGCAAACGACGCGTTTTTACGTGTGAAAATGCGGATGTTGGATTTATGACACATAGGCAGGAGGTAGCGAGCGCGAAGGGCTTGCCTAGGCCGTGGACTGCCATGTTCACTAGGTTCGTGGTTGAAACTTCAAATCATACTATGCATTATATATATCTGAGGTCACCCTTTACGAATTTGTTGCATCTGTTATGCCAACCGCACTTGTACGCGGAACACAAGTTATGCTTCCGTATAGGTACTACAGCAATACCACCAGAGCCTAGTCCCGTCAGGCAAGGGTTTGATCGTGTAATTGTGCTCAAAGCTCGAAGCAATTGCTACTAGACATTCCACTGGGCAGACTGCGCCTAACCTAACATGGCTAGACCATACCGCCAGTAGGGCTCGAGCGATTACACGTGACCAAGTATATTTCGATATTCCTGAAGATGAAGACCATGATACGGAACCAGTGCGTTTGATCGCCATCTAAATGTGCACTGAAAGAACCTTATTTGGAGGCTGTTAGTCAGGATCAATGTGCCATGCCCGAATCGGACAAATCAGTAAGCCGCTTTACTCGCCATTTAGGACTGTCTTGACATAAAATCAGATCGGTCAGCTATGGGTCGACAGATCATTCAAAACTCATGCTAGGGTCTGTAATGTCATCGCCTGGTACCTACATCATATTTGGGGCTGTTCTTTATTCTAGCTGGACCAAATCTGGACCGTTCTTTAAATGCACAAAGACCGTAGAATCTAAATAATAAAGATCATGTTTCCAATGGATCTGGTCTCTATAGAGCAGGGCGAAGGCAGTGGTAGTGACAAATCTATTCAGGTTAAGAGGGGCCAGAAGTATATGGTGATATCCAGCGGTAACAGTAATCGTAGTGAGTACTTTGCTAGTCAGTGAAACATGGATGACGTTTGGCTGTACCAAGGAAGACACCGCGAGCGATCTCCTCAGATGGAGCTGCAAATTGCCCCCAATTTCTGCACCATCTGCCGCAGAACGAAACATTCCCGATTGTATTGTATCGCCAGCCAGCTGACAACAGGAACTGATATCCTCCACAACAACGCATCACGACGTTCATATGCGCTTGAACGATTCTAGATTATGATAAGCAGTCTTATTGGCCGCGTTCACCAGCATCTTCAATTCGCCCTCATCCCCCGATTGCTCGAACGGTTTGCTCTGATTGGTCAGCAGGTGACTCGAAGGGCTTGGCGGTCAAGGCTTACGCGTAGTAGCGTCTCCGGTGAATTGCATCTCTTCAACTCGTCAGGCAGACTCTTTACTTCGGCACTCCATGGGTATTGCGAAGGATTCTTCATGATCAATCTCTCCACCACCTCCGCCAAAGCAAACAGCTTCATTGTGGCTGCGTCCATCTCGGCTGCATCGATCTGGCAACTTTGTTCCACTCCCGCTGCCACATGGCCAATTGTCAGCATCTCATGCTCACGTGATCCCGCCAGTTATGCTCAGATATCCACTCACCGATCCTGACACCACCGAACTCCGTGAGTAACAAAGTGTCAGCACTCAAGGCGGCAAGTGCTCTCCCCTGGCCGCGCAGATATTGAATTCCTTCGAGGACCTATCGGGCATGAGCATCGTTTGGTTTTTCATGTCGACCCTTGAGAGTAGCACGTACCGGCCGAACAATTGCAGTAATCTCCCCCTCCGTGATAGTGCACCTTGATGCGAGGATGTGACTCACCGAGAGCTCCACTGGCTCCCGGACCAGAAATACCTGCTCCTCCCAACAATAGCACGCTACCAGGCCTAGAAAGCTGGGGTGAGATATCTGGCTGATTGTTTCCAGCAATGGCTTGACGGATGAGAATTGTTGCTTCAAAAGATGAATATTGACAAGTGTTGCTTTGCTTTCCCTGTGTCGGGCCAGAAAGACAGACTGTCCTTGGAAAATCACCACGATCGCCTCATACGTCTGCCAAGGGTCTTGAAAGACTGGCTGAATTACCCGAACTTCGATTTGATCTTTCTGCAGCGATGGACGAGGCAGAGCCAGAGTAGAAGGGGCTATCGCTGGATCGGGCTGGGGCGTAGAAGGCGGCGCAGAAGGACGAGGTGTTCCTTTCAACGCTGCCAAATTGGGCGTTCCGTCAAGCCACAGAGGTCGAGAGGGCTGGGGCTGGATTGAATTCATCTCGCAAGGAAATGTGTCGAGAAGGCAGACTTGGTTCTAAAGTATCCAAGCAATGTCGTATTGCTCAATGCTACATTGAGCAGTAGAAAAATTGTATCCAGAGACGTTGAGACAATCATTAAGTTATAATGTTATAATGAGGTCGCAGAGATGGAAGGTTACGGCTGACTCTCTGCGGAAGCTTGACACTAACCTTACGAGCGAGCATGGCTGTTTGTGTACACGGTTGTCCAACCTCCTTAGTGGTCAAGCGTTCAAGTTGCGGTTAGACATAAATCACGCGGTGGAGCCGGCCCTGCAACGGCCCAACCATGTTCGCTCATGCACTGCGCCGCAAACTGCAACCGGTTTAATGTCATGCATCCTCGATGAGATTGAAGATCCGCTACTGTTTCTGTCTGCTCACGACGGTGCTGAATTCTGTGTACGTAGCCCCAGGACGAATCTCATGCGTTATACGAAATGATCTCGTGTATTCATCACTCAGCTCTCGTCTATCTGAAGCCTACACTATGGTCGGAAGCGATCGGGAACCCGTCTCGATCGAGGCGATCGACGAATAAGAGATGAGGTTGAGACCTGAAGACGGTCTGAACGCCGGGTAGGTCGGGTTGACCGACGCTGTGGAGGTGTTGTTGGAACGCTTGTTTCTTCTTCTAGTGTGTATGTGGCATCGAGAGGTGTTTCTGCTGTCGAGTCGGCAGTAGTATTTTCAACGGCGGATGAGCGTAAGAGAGCACTGAACGATCCATGACATCGACTGTATCTGTATTAGTGAATGAACCGGGTAGCAGAGGGTGATGGGATACGTACTGTGGCGGGCAAGAGGTGTTATTTCCCGGTAATCGATGGGCGAGCCATCCCTCCATACACCCCAAATGAACCACCCCCTTACATGTATCGCATTGTAACATGGCACATTCATCGCTATCTCCCTCGAGGCAAATTGAACACTTCTCACCATCTGGACAGGACTCTTGGCGAACGGCGTGAATCTGGAGGGAGTGTAGTCCACCGTATTCATTGTGAATGGATAGAATGGCCGGATCATCCGATGAAACATCCCAGTACACTCGATTCATTGCAAGCATGTCTGGTGTGACATCCCGACCAGGAGGCAGAGTCACATCTAGCCATGTGCTACCCCATGTTGGAGGAAACTCGTCTGGCTCCAAGGCAGTACTGGCTGTTTCCTGTTGCGCTCGGTCGATTTCTTCCCCGGTGATTTGTGAAACAGGTTGGCGCGGGGAATCTTGTGCATCGGTCTGATTACGCACGGCTGCATTGAACCATTGCTGTTTAATATCATCGTGCTGACGTGCTCGATGCCACTGTTTGCAGAGGAAGAAGGGTGCGATGTCGCTTAACTGGGAGTCGAGTGTAGAAAGGTTGAATGGGCTTCGTGCAAGGTTGTTCAACTTGTGCCGACCTTCTTTCAAGGTCTCTTTCTTCACAATCAACTGGCAAGCATCTCCTTTCTTGGTAATGCCACAGCACGTCTTATTTTCCCTGAGGGGCCCCATCTGACAGATAGTCAAGGGGTCCCAAAGCCACTGGGAGTCTGACATCTTGAGCGTAGTACGTGGGTGAGAGGCGAGGAATGTATCAAGGCGGTGGTGGCGACTGAAAGACAAACTGCTAAAGAGTCATCTGAGCATTTATAGTAATCCTTCTCTGTTACCAGAATTTGTTATGCATGAGGTTGTGTAGTGACATGGGTGGCGATAATCAAAAGGTCCTTGGCTCGCAGGGCAGATGGTTGAGCTCCTAGAAGTACTCAGTCTCCTGGGACCTGAATATGTGTTCCTGGAAACCGGATGGGTGCTCCCAGGAACGGCATGGGTATTCCTGGGAGTTCAGGGACTCCCAGGAACCCATATTTGAGCCCCAGGAACCAGAGTTTCGTTCCTAGGTACTTAGCAGTCGTTTGCCGTTGGTAAAAGTGGACACCTGTTGGCTACATGTATGCTTACACAACGAACAAGGACGGCTTTTCTAGGAGAAACAAAAAGCGTTCAGCACGTGCAACGTATAAGCTTTGATTGTAGTGATGACCACCAAAACTCGATTGGGGTTTTCAATTCACTAGACGCTTGGACCGTCCGGTCGCACGAGCGATTCTACTGTGCGTTCGGAGCACTTTATTAATATAAAAGATGTGTCCCTGAAGACCAATGAGCCTCCTCACTTGCTCTGTTCAACATCTTCTTCCCTTTGATCTGCGTTGTGCCTACTGCGCATCCTCTTGACTATCCACCAATATGGACTGGAGCTCTGAATATCTTCAGTCGATCCTCGGCCAAATTATTGGCGACCCTACTCATCGTTTGGGGTGCCGATGGGTTGAAGACAATGGAGTATGTTGCAACAATCCTGTTTCCAAGGATTCGCGAAGAAACGGAGCGATATGCCTCAAGATGTTCCAAGATCTCCCTACCGGTCACCCACCTAAAACGAGACTCGCAGAGGCTGCAAGGTACATGCTATGTCCAGAATGCAGGCGTCACACTTCCCGACCCAGAAGGTGCGCCCAAAGATGGATGAAGCAGTTATATGCCCAAGCCAGTCAGACGGAGGAAACCACTCAAATCCAGAAGGATGGGCACCGGTCCGTTTCGCTGGCACAACGCTGGCCAACTAGTTTCTCTTACAAAATCGGCACAGACGGGTACATTTTGACGCCTAAATCCTGACAATCGTTTCTTATACACCACAAGCAACTGACGGTAACCTTTCGACGAGGGACACAAACACACTCTCAAGCAATCCGAAAGCCAGCAGTCGTTCTGTCAGATGTTGGAAACCAAACCAAAATTTCATTACACCGTCTTGCCTGTTAATATTTCATTATTTTCAGCCAGCGCCCCCAGGAATAAACCAAAACAAATTATGAAATGCTCCTCTTCACTGACCCCTATCTTGCCTATTTGTCCCGCAGCCCTGCTTCCCACCAACGACTGGCTTGTTTGGTGGCTTGTTGAGGAGCAGCCCCTTCGCCTTCCCATCTTTATCCTCAGCTATATGTGATTTAGTATTGATGTAAGAGATAGTATCCACATTGAAAATACATACCGAGCTCATGGCTGTCTGGATGTGTCTTCTGTCTCTGGCATTCCTTAGCGAGCAACTCTGGCGATGGAGCTGCCGATCGTCGAATGCGTTCCCATTCAAATGCAGCATCAAGGGTATCAGAAGTAGTTCAGCACGGGGTAGCGTGTTGGGGATGCTAGACTTGGAAAGATTGTCTCCCAGAATATGTTGAAGCTTCCACGTCAGCTTCTGACAGAAAGTCAGTTGAATTTCCATAATCAGAATAAATGATATGTAATAAAAAGGTTCAAGGGAAGAAGTACTGCAAACCGAACTAAGGGCAAGGCAGCACATATATATGCCATTGTAGAAACAAACGCGTTTCAAGTGCCAGAGCATACTGAATATGATATATACATGTAATTATGACCGCTCTTGACGGGAACAAGCAGTAAAGCAATCCTGGTCGCTTCGAAAATAATGACCAATGTACATGAACAAGGAACGATGCACGGTGAACCATCGTTAAGCCATGACTTAGCTGCACTGTTCCGCAGGCCTTGTGCTACCACTTTCCGAGTCACCACCGGAATTCTCACCGCTATTGCCCAACTCGCGTGCTTCCAATTGTTTCAACAACACATCAAGCATTACCTTTGTTGACTCCGGCTCTTGGCTGGATTGGCTGGTACTTCGCTCCTTCAGCCAATGATCCACCACGCCTCCCAATTTCTGGCTGAGTTCAAAGAAGATATCCGCTAGTCTGGATACATGCTCCAACTCCTCAGTAGCTTGCTTCTCGGCTGCCTTGGAAGCGCTCAGTTCCTGTTCAAGTTTGGACTGGGCTCGTTCTGCCCGGACAGCTCGACTGTCGAGTCTCGCGAGAATTCGGAGATATTCCTATCTTGGAATTAGAAGCGGCTTCTGAAAGCGGTTTTTTTGCCTACCGAGGAATCCATTCTAACAAATACAAGATAGGTGCTCAGTAACCAGCAGATGGGTTTGACGCAAGCAGCAGGAAGCTTACTCGAGCAACAGAGGATATTGTGTTATTTTTATAGCTCTACGCCAATGGTCAGCCTCCAGCTAGACACTTGGAGCTCCAATAGGCTCACCTCCTGCGTGCCTTGAACGATCTCTATGAGCTCTGTTGACCATATACGGTTAACCGTCCCGATTTTGAATTATTGGAGAGAGCCCGAGGACTTCATTGTCTAATGCAACAATAACCTCACCCAATACCTTATGCAGTGCACCAGACCATGTCTCGGCCACGAAAATAGTGAAGAAAACTGGTCTGCTATTGTACATTGTCAGTCCAATACCGCATTTTCATTAGGAAACCCCTATGCAAGCCGAACTGACAACCCTTCTTCGGCTGACAGCGAGTAGATATTGTCTGCTCGGGAATGAAGTGAACCGTATCTTTATGACAGAAAGAACAATAAACTAAGCCCGTTACGGACGGTCAACTGGGCCAGTGCCGCGTGTGACAGACTTAACGTGTGCCCCACAGTCGAGACTCAGACAAGTCGCGTCCGGGATATGAATTCTAACCACGCCATAACCGAAATTACGTGACAGGGATAATCCGTGATACCCTACAATACATTCTTGCTATCTGGTTGAGTGGCGGCACTATTGAGTCGCGATCGATTGATTGGGTGGGGCAGCCTATGTGGCCCGCGATCAGACTCGGGCGACCCAAGACCTAATTTCCACAGATCGCCCAAAATCCGTCTTTTACGAACGTGGATCTGCGCGTGCTTTACTACTGTTGCCGCATAATTTTACGGTGTGTATCATATTCTAGATCAGGGTCATTGGGGGACTGCTCGATGTACCTGTACAGAGTGAATAATTTGAGACTTAATGAACATCTCATTACCAATCTGTTCCTGCTCGGCGCGATATGCGCTGCCTAATAGAGCTTTTTGAGTAATTAGCGGCGAACAGTACGTGCCAAAATATGCCGTCTCAGGAATATGCTAAGCCAATCGGTTCCTAAATTCACTTGAAAGACTCATTGCCATTCCGTTTATGTCTAAATGAACTTTAGCTTCCCGCTGTCCAAATTAATCCCGATACGAAATGGTACGCCAATGAGACATGGGATAGGAGACTATAGATGCAACCCAAAGGCAAGGTAGATAATAACATACGCGTAAAGTGCGACTGGGGTACCTGGTGAAATCGTAAGCCCTGGCAAAGCTTGGGCCGTTTAAATGAGCCCATGGTCAGGTTTTGAGGATTATGTTTATTGAGGATGTGCACTTCGTCCCGAAGTGCTCAACGCCTGACCGCAGAAAAATCATACGCAACGAAAAGTGATCATGGTTGAGACACCTACCGGTTAATTCATGGTTAGCGGTCCCCAGAGAGCATGAAAGGAAGAAGTGAACGGTCGACCTTCGCCCCTCAAATGTAACCATATCGTGAAACTACAAGATAACCGTTATTACGGGCCGGTTGTCAACATGGACCAATGATCGGGCATTCGAACAGTCAACCTTACAATCCTGCGGCCCACATTGTCCGGCTGCGTGCTACCTCGTTCCGACCTGTTTTGCCTACTGGCTCGTACACTGGAGACCTATAAAAGCTCAGATGGCCTCCCGAGCGGTCAAACTTGAAGAGTCAATACTTGTTGCCAAAAAATCCGTTTCACAGTGTTGACGCTCGATATGCCTTCCCGAAGGACGGCAGGCCAAGCCCTCAACAGTACTGGTCAAGGCCGTTCTGAGTCACATGCCGCTCCCAAGCATACTATCCGCCATCCTATCGCCGGTGATGATGATGCTTCGTCAGATACTCAAGGCGCACACATTTATACACCATTGGTATGTCCTGACATCACTGTCCCGTGAATGCAAGTATACTCAGCCCAATGTGGAATCCAGGTCACCTCGCCAATAGCAAAGACCCCGAAACGAAAGCACTGGAGGATTGTTCATCGACGATGCTTGCAGGGTTTCAAGGACGCTGATAAAGAGCGGGAGGAGCTCACACAATCCATACAGCAACTAGAGGAGGACAATGCCCAAGCCACGACAAAAGTTCGCCATCTGAGTGACAAAGATGACCGGAATCTGGCCAAGATTCAAGAGCTTGAGTTTCAAATATCTAGTCTGAAACAACAACTTCAGTTTGCACAGGCTTGTTGCACGACCGGTGATAATGTGCTGCCCATACTATTGGAGGTCAGCAGCTATTTTCAATATGCGCAGAACCAGCTCGAGAAGAAGATAGAGGCAGAGAAGAATGCAGAGAAAAACAAGTCTGCATTTGCTGGCTTACCTACATCTGATGTGCTACAAGGCTCCTGGCCAGTCAATAACGGGCAGATGGGCTCGTTTGGTACCAACTCGCTCCCAAACTATCCACTACCGAATACCCTTTCGTCGACCAATCAGCAAGCGCCGATCCAATACAGCCAGCAACCTCTCCAGCAAGCACCGGTCCAGTTCAGCCAGCAACCTCTCCAGCAAGGTAGCCAATATATAGCACAATTGTGAAGAGAAAGTGTCTGCTATCATGACGGAGTCCCGGAGTTCTTCAGGTAGCCAGTCGGAACATAAATTAGCAATAACATCATCGGCGCAGTGCGACTACATCAACTAGACATAAAACATCCAGTGTTCGATGCATCAGTCCGAAAAAGTCGTAGACGGATGAAAATAACTGCCTAGAATATCCCGAGTCTAGCGGAACGACAAGGAAAATGTTACATGGGTATTTCCCGCCACTATGATTATACGGTCATATCATTTCCTTAGATCGCGGATCACGTAGATCGAGTTTGTAAAATTCTACTCCATTTAATCCCATGCCGTCAACGGGCCTTCGCCGCAGATCAAGGTGATTCGATTTAGGAATGCCTAAGCGAGAATGATAGTTTCGAGTGTCGCAATTGAAACCGTAGATATGCCTGCCCATTATCCCAGATTGCACTAGCCCGGCTGTAGGCTTAAACCCAAAACAGCACTCCTCTATAATACCCTTGTCTTTGGTACTCTGTTGGGCTAGCGCCTTGTTTCAATACGGGAAAGTTTGTCGAATGGCGGCTATACGACTGTTTGACGCGTTTCTATCAGGAAGTGCAATCGTAATGCAGATGGCTGGTCTTTCGACTTAAGCTAGGCTGGGTCTAGTGTCTGAGTCAGGAAACACAAGGTATGGCGCACGGTCCGTGTGTCCCGATCTACCGCTGTCGTGCCAACTTGAAATCTGTTAAGCAGTCTCAAACAGCTTGGTCCAAACTGACTCCAAATCTGTCATTGCGCTTGCAAATATATGGGCCGATCAGAGCCAATGATTGGGCAGGAGCTTTGCATCGCACCGGCCGCGCGTGTCCGTCAGTCCAGGCTAAATCCGAGATCAGCGTCAGATTCCAGAAATCCTCGTATCCACCTAACGGATCCGCAAATCGTCCTTTTGGAGCCGATGGTGAGACAGTCACGCGGAATGCAGGATCTTGGGGAGCTTGTGTGGATTCATCTCGGTTGAGGGATGCTACTGTGTGAAGCTATAGCCGCCCGTTATGTGGCAATACGTGTATATGGTGATTTAGACTTGTTTAGTTGATTGCGGACGAGCGGGTTCAAGAAGGAA